AGCTGTAGCACCCTTTCGGTCCCTAACTGCCATGCCGCCCAAAAGATGCACGAGGGCTGGGATACTGCCAGGTTGCTCAAGCCTTAACGAGGGAAGTCGAGATACAGAGGTTGGGTTCGAACCATGGACCTTCCGGCCAGTAACGTCGCGATCTAACCACTTGGGCCATCTCGCCCCTAAATATAACCTCCCAACAAAGATATCGTTTTTTCCTGAACATTGAGAACAGGATTGAATTAGAATGATTCTCTGAGCCTAGACAGAAGCCGTCGAGATGCTGAGGTTGGGTTCGAACCCCGAATCTTTCGCTCCGTAAGCTGGCACTTTAATCACCGAATTATCTCCTATCTTTCAGTAGGCCATAAGAAAATTGAAAAAGACTTTTCTGACTTCTGAGGTATCTCTGTGTGTTTTGTCCTGCACGCAGTATTGATCGAAAACGCACTTGATCGAGAACGGACCTTTATGCAGGGTCAAAATAGAAATAAATGATTATAAAAACCAATCAGATGATGACTTTTCTTGTTCCCTCAGAAATTTCTCACGTTTTGTGTGTGTTCTAACAATAACCCCCACAGAATCACAAGATCTCTTTTGAAACGAAGGGACCGTGTCCGTTAGAGAGGACTCAGTATACATCAGTTTGAGCTCACCCGAACTGAATAACCGGGAGGTCCATGGTTCGAACTCGACCTCTGCATCTCCGCTGCCCTTGGACAACCTGACAGTATCTCGACGCTCATGCCTCCTTCGGGTGGCTTGGCAGCAGAAGGCACCGAAAGGTTGCCACAGTATTACCCAACCACTTGAGTTTAACCATACAGACGCCCTTTGTTGAAGTAGTACTGGCTACAAACGTCTTTTAGATTCGAGTTTCTCATTTGGGAGGTGTCAGGGCGCGCCCAGACAGGAGAAGAAGTACATGTGCAGAGAGTGACGCATCCCCAAGGTCATCATCGGTTCAACACGTCCGGAAAGTGGGTGAGTTGGCGGCTCTCACCAAACGACCAGCGTAGTGGGCCTGAGAATGTTCACGACCGGAACACCACCAGTGGCTGTACGGAACGAACAAGTGAACGAGCATATTTGGCCAACTAGTCATCCTATGTATATTCACGCAGATGCTCTGTACGTTTTGTCCTGGCAATACAGCCGTGTCCGCTGTTCTCTGTCTTCTCCCTATCGCGTAGTCTGGCAGGCTCAGTGCAGGCGTAACCCCATAGCTCGGCCACCGCACCGCACTGGCAGACGGGTGTTCACAATGGCAATTTCATTCGAACAGATGCAGTCTCTCCTCAGACAGCAGCAGCAACAGTTTGAGCTGGCGCAGTTGAAGCTCATCGAAACACTCACTGAAAAATGGTCACTTCAGAAGCCGATTAGCCCGACTATTGAGTCGTCCACTTCGGTGTTCGACACGATGCTCAACACAACAGAAGGTGGACAATTTTGCGCACATTACGATCTTTGTGACGACCCTCGTGTGACGCAGGAAAGCATCGACTTCAGTAAGATCTTCTACTGGCTTGGTTAAACCAGGCTGCTACACGTGTCGCAACAGGTCGGTACCAGTGGACCGCCTCACAAATGGGCCCTCATTTGTAACATTCCAGTGGTATCCCAATGGTCTCATATCAACTGAAGGAAGCATGAGGACTTGGACGCTGTCAAGTCACCCAAAACCCAGACAGGGGAACTCGAGAAGATGGGGTTTGGTTCGAACCACCCACCTTCCGATCAATAAGTTTTCGTTTAAACAACTAAGTCATCTTGAGCTTGCACGAAATGATGCAACCATTTGCTTATTAACAGCGACGGAATTCAAGGATGAACAGAAGGCCCTCGAGACAAGATATGGGCAGTGTTCCTGGGACGCCGGTCGTTTAGACTCCATGTGGACTTGCTACCGGAGTAGTCCTGATGTCTGTTTACCAACGGTGTGAAACTAAGGCGATTTTTTTTACAAATACACTCATTTGCATGACAATCTGGTTTACCGGGAGACTCACCTGGAACCCAGCTGAATCTACCATTTATGATGTTTTTAAGCAACCCTACGAGTAGTGTGTCACGTCCATAGGGAGAGTTTTCAATGAGGATGAGTTTGGTTCGCAGTGGAAGGTCAACAGGCTAGTAGATCTGTTCTGAGGAGCCGAGCAGTCCGTGCTCGTAGTGTTGAGCAGTTCACGAAGAATCGAAGGAGAGTTTATCCAGGTGACCGCAGGAAAACAAGGTATGCTCACGCAGGACAGACCCCCAAAGCATTCAACGCAGTGTGGATGAGAGCGAATGCGTTTAGAAACTTGTGAATACTCGGCAGAACATTCTAACAACGGCGTCTGAAGTTATTTGGACTGCCTGTCTAGCTAAACAACAGAGTACGGGCAACAGCTCCGTCCATCTTTGACGCAAAGATGCTCAAAACCAGGGTCTTTGAATTGTCACGTGATTTTAGGCGATTGCACTAAGAACGAGGACACTTGAATACACGCATCATGGGACCGGACCCTTATCCAGAACCGGTAGGCAAAGGCGATATCCACAGTCACTGCGGTTGTTCTCGCCAATACATGTCAGGTGACCTATTCATTGTCGCAACAGGTAACCGGGTGAAATCGCTACTGGATCGCCTCAGTACGGGCGAGACGGGGAGAGTCAGTACTCGTCGATGCTCTTCGTAGCTATGATGTCAAGTGAGGAACGAGACAACCGACCCTTTGTCATTTAATCAGCAGCTAGCCAATTAGAGGTGTGTCAATGGACATACCCTGTTAGCGAATATAAACTCATTTGCAAACTAATTTGATTTTTCGAGAGACTCACCTGGAGCCTAGCTGAATCTCCCCTTTGTGATGTTTCCAGGCGACCGAATATGCTGCATCAGGCCGCCTCATGTTTCAGTCCCTGCGATATTCGAGATATCGCGATACATGTATATATTTGTAATGTACTACTCATAAGGTCGACGGATTTTCAGCAACCTTATGAGTAGTACATTACAAAGAGTTACCCTGTTCTTTTAGTGTGCTCTGGTGCTTTTCAGTTCATTGCTTAGCAGGAATCGAGAGACACTGACTGCTTTTCACCTTGTCGTCTAGTCCGAGGATCACAGACGTTTAAGGCATAAAAAATACACGTCTACTTTGTGGAAAAAGTTTGGTGACAACGTTTCGCTTTTGACACAAAAGCTTCGTCAGTGACCAGTTTCCGAGGTTGGTCGAGATTTAAGGCGGAAGGAAAACCAATCAGCAAAGCCAAGCTAAATCTCTGTTGAGTGTCGGCCGAGGGATTTTAGTGTGTTAGAGTGGGTGAACAAGTGTTGGGTCGGTGGGGAACCTACAAGTGTTTGGGTCCAGTTTAGGATCCATTTGATGGTCCCTCTTGAACGTCGTCTGAACCTTCTGTCCGTCTGTGTGGGTGAGCTAGTGCTAAGAGGGATGCTGGGACCTTTGGTCGGGGTTGGGATTTCCACCCCCAACCCCCCACCCCGGTTTTTTGCTAATGATTCTACGTGGTGGATTGACAACCACGTGTCAACTCAGCTTATCTATGACCGCTTTCCATACGCTCGCCAGTTCCACACCCTCGATTCTATTCACGCTATGATGCTTCGTAATTTCCACCGCCTTGCTGTGGTTTGAATCGCAGTCCCCGTCTTAAAATACATGTGCACTCTTTTTTTGCATCGTTTTAGCGTGTTTCACCGACGTTCCGTGAATTGAAAAGTTCAGAAGAGAGAATTCCTCGAACTGTGGAACTAAGCTCATTTTGACACTGACTTGGCACGGCAACAGCAATGCTGCCGCCTCATGCGTTCGATCCATTAAACAGAGTTCAGGTAAGTCTCACGCACTCTGGTCTGATATGTTGTTTTGGACTACCTTCGTTCATGATTTCCGGCTAGAACACAACCGGGATTGAATGTGTACTTGCTGGGTTTCCTTATTTCACACTTTTTTTGGGGGGAACTGGATCAATATCGTTACCCTCGCAGGGTTTCAAACATGACCAAAGGACTGCCGATACAAGCTGTTTTGTCAGTAACTTGTGGTGAAACGGATTAGCACGCAACATAGATCGAAACATTTTACTTAGCAAAGAACCAGAGAAACCTGGGGTTGACGGGCCTATTACGAAAGTTCGTGGAGGGTTCAGCTGGAGTCTCCAGGGTTTTTTCGTTGAAATTTGTACGAAAACGTCTCGACAGGTGGAACACTGGAAATATGGCTTTAAGACGAAAGTGACTTCAATGAATTCTATAGACCCATAGCCGTTTGGAATGATATAAACTGTCTGCCTAAACCATTTGAATTTACTACGGAATTTCAAAGTGGGTCGCTCAATGATTGTTCGCCTCAAAGACTGGACGAAAGTATCGAATTTGTGTTCCTACCTTGTGTGTGACTGTGCTGTTTATCTAAGCGAAGCGGCGTGAGTTCGCGGCAACGTTCCAGATCCAATGAAACGAATGAAGTTTCAATTGCATCCTGTAGGTGATGAGATTAACCTGCGCTGAAAAGCCGGCGGACACCGTACCTCTGCTTCATCCTTGTTGCGGATCATCAGCAGTGCACATCCAACCCGCGAATTTAGGGTTAGCGTTGCAAACTATACCGTTTGAAGCACCAATCAGTAGTGCGACTAACTCACAGTCAGATGGGATATGGCGCCACTCGTCCCGCGATCACGCTATTCACATCACGCGATCACGTGCTGACTGGCCCCTCGGGTGATGATTTCTCCGATGGAAGGCTCAAGCAACTTGTTGGCTAATCTGGCCTTCTGGACAAGATCACCTTTTGATTTAAATTCAATTTGAATTAAATACACAATAAATTTGAGTGAGGCGATCAGCGATTCATCCGAATTCACTGCGCATTTTCCACTTCCAGTCGTGCAAACTACTGATCCAGTTTGCGAGATGACCCAAGTGATTAGAGCGCGAATCTACTGACCAGAAGGTCCGTGGTTCGAATCCGACCTCTGCCTCTCGTCTTCCCATGTCTAGGCTTGAACAACCTGGTAGTATCCCAGCCCTCGTTCTACCCCCGGGTGGCATGCGCAGTTAGGCCCGGAAGGGTGTTAAAACCCGAACATTTCTTTTTTGAACGAACCGTATGCGCTAATCTGGTTTTGTTTTTGGCTGGATGCGGTTTGGAGCACTCTGGATGCCAAATGTGCGGTGGCGTGTATTTGGAGAGTTCACAGATGGGTGAAATTAGAAATTGGCAAAGTTTGCCGCCTAGAGAATAAGAACCTTGAAGCAACAATTTGATTTCTAAAGAGGTCAGAGAAGCGTGCAGAACGAACGAGGTCAGTCTCATGTCAGAATGCCAACAAGTTACAACCTCAGCGGATTTGAGGTCTGAATGGATCTGCGGGCGGTGGACGGCCAGCTCTAAAATGGTGCTTGGCGAAAACGACAGTGTTTAGACACGTTTTACCCGTAAACAGCAACAGTGGAATCTCTATCTTTGGTGAGTGTGACCCATGGTGACACAGTAACCATCTCTGAGTCTCGTGGTCACCGCAAGTCGGTGCGCGGTCAAACGATGACAGCTTTCAACCGATTGTGACTTCGGCCTTTCAACTGATTGGCTTCGTAAAGGAAAATCTTCGCCAGTGATCGGCGTTTTGTTCAGAAAAATTCTGGTACATCATTGGCCAGTTCGCAGGGGGCGGATACAAAGTAGTTTTGAACAAAGAATCCTGTTATGGACTGATACTGATCCATGCAGAAACTGTTTTTGCCAATTTTCAAGATGGATATGAGAAAATCCTACACATGGTTGGAGTCAGGCGATTCGCCTTCCACATGGGGACAGTCCACTCTCGGAGCGCCTCACGTACGTTTTTTGTCCACGCAAGTCATCACCTTTCCGATGCAAATCAGAATATCGTGAAAAAAGGATAGACGTCTGAGTGTGGGCTCGAATCCAGGTCTTCCGTTAGTCACTTCCCGAGATGGCTTCATTGTGTGACGTCACTTGCCATAAATCTACCTTGTGGATCACCACGTTCGAACAAGGGACCATCCAGGTTAGGACTCGCTACTGATAATGCTCGTTTTTGAATCGCATGTCACGCCTCTAGTAAAATCCAAACGCAAATAGACTACACTTTTTAAATTTCGCGCACCACTTTTCCAGTTCAAACGTCTTCAGTCTCACTTGAGTCTTTCACAGAAGAGTTTCTCCGGCTAGACACAAACTAGAACTGTCCACTTGTCATATGCATCTCACATGCGGTGAGTTGCTTTTGGACTGAATTTAGTACCCGAAAGGTTGTTGGGCAATTATCGCGTCCAGTGAAAATCCCTTCACTTTAAGCACAACTTTCCCAAGGTTATGTCAATTCATCTTCTCTTCTTCGGACATCCTTTCCTGTTTTTTTTACTCAATTGGTCACCATTGTTCTGCTTCCGAAACAGTCTGTACAACTCGTCGCAGTTCTGTCCTGAAATTGTAACAAAGGCGTTCGCACCGGAATTCCTACGTCAAGACAAGTCGTCCAGTGTCGCAGCCGACACCCATGTGCTTTTCGTACTAGCCCCGTGCGAGAGCACATGGCAGTTTGCGTGCGTCATCCTGATATCGTACGAAAGTGCGGTCTAGCTTACTTAATTTTTTTGCCAGTGCTGTGTCCTTGCACAGACATGCACGAGAGTGTGTTCAGCTCAACGCCAATGCTCGATTCACGTGTTTACCCCAGCAGTGCGGCGTGTTGGGAACGACAGTTCGGTAAACTCCACCACAAAGTACTCGTGGAAGACCTCGGTGGAATTGTTCTGGAGTGAACCTTGAAAGCAGAGTTTGGAGCCTCTAGATGCGGGTTAGGTGAGGTGCGCTTACAGGTACTCCCTTTTGATTTGTCATCCTTCTAGCTAATAGAACAACGGGCAAAAGCCGACAGACGTTCTACAAATACATGGTCACGGGTTTGAGTCCACTATTCGACACCTGTCTCATCATTCCTATCATCCGTGCTTTCACCTCAGAGATGATCAAGGCCTTCTTGGGCTTGGCTCAGACAGACGGTCAAAGACATCTCTGTCCCGGTGGTCACACTGCCCCTTGTCCCATCATTTGTGCCGTACGGCATACAAACAGAGAGTTACAAGGTAGTTAATTATGGTTCGCTACCGGTCGATCGATTGACTGACCGGTCGATAATCCAATACAGACGGTAGTTTGCATAATAAACCAGGCATTGTGCGCGGTTTCTGAAAATTTGTTTCTGATATTGTGGCTCAACGTCTGAGAAAGGTCACGTCATTCCTCGTCATCTTGGTGTGCATTCGACTTCAGTACAAATCTGGCCCTCATGGATCTACTTCACAACCGACAGTGGGGTTTCCTCTCATACGGCTAATTATTCGGTGTGTGCACTACGTGACCTTGCGTTCTGAACGACCTTGAGCTCGGTGATCTGAGGTATTGATTACTGTGGTGATCCGGCTACTCGGTGTTTGTCTGGACTACAGGAGGTGTGTGTGTGTGGTGACTGTCTTGGGACAGTTGGTCTACCCAAAAGATCATCTGCAGGTTGGTGGACATTGTCTTTGCGACATGGTTTTTGAAGTTTTGTCTTATCGGCGCAGTTTTTCGAAGACCAACCATCGTTTTCAACATTCCTAATGACCAGGAATCCTAACAGATCCACAATGTGGATCTGAAGCGCATGATCGAACATATTTGGCTCATCAGGTGTTCCTTGATGCAGCCAGAAACAGACCTTCTTCGAAAAGGCATGGGTTTCAACAGAAGGACTTCTCCAGTGTGTTAGATCAAAGCGTTTGGATGATCCGTCTCCCAAAATCCGAAACAACCTTTAATATATATAATATTATAGTAATATTATAATAATATAATCTATAATCTTGATAAGTAGTGAAGGAAGCGTGTGGCGATTCTTCGAGGCTATGAAACTCTTACCTCGCTTTAACGGAATTGTACAGTAGACCAAGCAGCCGACATTTTGATGAAAAGATTCAGGAAAGAACCGGAGCGATTTTGCCCTCCGTCGTCCACCCGGATACGATGTGTGATAGCTCCAACTCTGTAGAGGGCACTCCGTTTGGAGCAAGATCTCTTCTGTGCGTTTTCATCGGAATTTCTTTTAGAATTCACACCCTTGGAGAGAGTTCCAATTTTCTTTCACTATCTGGTGGTCAATGACAAGACTGGCTAAAACAGTCTGTCATTCCAGAGTGGTTTATGCTGTACAGAGTGACATTACGCAAGTTGGATGAGCAACTGATGAACACCCGAGCTGCCAACACTTTTACGCTTTGTTAGAGGATGCCTGTATGAAAGCATTCATATTCATTTGTTGTGGTGTCGTGGATGAGAAATTTTCCCCTTTTTTGGTCACTAGCTTGAAGAGCATGTTGCAACCAATCAGGGTAGAGCTTTGGTCGCTGTACAGAGGTGCACGTGCACCAATCGTCTGCCTAACTGCTTTAATTCCTAAGGCGCTTGACTGCGTTAAAATAGGCGTTTTCTACAGTCCTCTTTCATGCACGGTTCGTACCGGCATCAGGCGAAACGCAATCCCTTTTAACTGGCAGCGAAACACATATGCGTAAGAAATCGGGAGAAATCACCGAGTGATATTAAGAACTGCATGCAGAGTGAGAACTGTTTGTTAGCGAATATACACTCATTTGCAAACAAATTTGGTTTTGCCAGGGATACTCACCTGGAACTCAGCTGAATATCTCGTTTGTGATGTTTCCAGACAACTGAATGTGCTGCACCAGGCCGCCTCATGTTTCAGTCGCCACGATATTCGAGATATCGCGACACATGTAAATATTTGTGATGTACTACTCATAAGGTTGCTGAAAATCCGTCGGCAGCCCACGACCGGTTTTGCACTTTTTGGGGCTCATCAGGTAGGCGCAGTCCCCGAGTTTCCGTCAGCCTTAGGTTGCACTTGAGACCCAATTGCACGAAATTAACGAATATACACTCATTTGCAAACTAATTTGGTTTTTCGAGAGACTCACCTGGAACCCAGCTAAGCCTCTCGTTTGTGATGTTTCCAGGCTCGTGTTTTTTCGTTTCTGTTTCACATATGGTAGCCAAGATGCCAGTATACGCGTTTCGGTGGATGCGTGTATAGCTGCTTGAATCTACCTACCTGTTCAAGCATGTTGGATCGCGCGTGCTCCATAACTGACGTAAAATAGGTGTTTTTGAATCTGTGTTGAGGTTGATAGAACTGAGTCAACTAGCTTGGATCTACTACTGTATGTTGGCCAGTTGGCGACCGAATAGAGGCTTTTGTAATCAACTCCCTTGTGTATTCTAAGTGCCACCAACTTTGTTGCACAGGTGTTCTACTCGTGGGAGAACATAAGTAGTCTGTCCTGAGAGTAGTGATTTCTCCGGAATGAATATCCGTTCGTTAGTTTCGTTGCCATTTCATCGGATAGACAACACTTGGACCATTCCATCTTGGGGAGGGGGAGTCGAAATGGCTCAGTGATTGGAACGTGAATTTATTAACCGGAAGATGCGTGATTCGAACCCGACCTTAGCATCTCGACTTCCTCTGTCTAGCCTTGGGCAACCTGGCAGTATCCCAACCCTCGTGCTTCTTTCTGGTGGCATAGCAGTTAGGCGCCAGAAGGGTGCTACAGCTGAACGAGGACGATTCCATCTTGGTGGTCCTTGTTCGGGAGTTTCATTGTTCGCTCTGTTGAAAGATACACGACGTTTTCTCCTAGTCAGAGGACACGCATTCTATCGATCTTACTGAATATCAGCATGATGAAAACGGACATTTACTGGCTTGGTCTGCAAGCATCTTGACATTTCATTCGGTGACCTTCAAGCCAGAAATGTCACAGTTTTAAAAACGAACAATTGAACCTGAGCATCACTCAGTAGGCAGATGTCCCGTTATTTTTGACACCACACGCATTAATAGTCTTGTGTCTGGTGCGCTAACACCAGAAGATGCTATGGCGTGGATCGGAAGTCTAGATTTGGCTTTTATTACTACCCCTGAGGACGTCATCATCATCGACAGCATGACATCGCTGATGCTTTACTGTCCCTCTCTTGAACAGTGAACAATCTTTTCCTGTATACTGCTGTCTATCAGGAACCACGATGTCATACAAGCTTTAAATTAACGCGGCAACATCCAATTTCAGACCTCTTGGTCAAAAGCAGGTAGCACTTAGGTCGTAACACGTACCGTGAGAATTTACTACCAAATAAGGAAGGTGCGTTCCGATTGTTAGCATTCTGATTAGATCCTGAATTATCGATCCAGTCGCCGAATCATACACGCACACACATATAGGGGGGATTGTGAGAAACCAAGCCGCAACACAATTCTAGCAATTGAACGTGTAACGGTGTCTAATACCTGGGTCACATGGCCTCACGCTTAACAGAAGCTCAGTTTGAAAATGTAGCACCTTTGAAATCAGGTGACTCATGAGGGTGAAGTGAGAAAGTGGTTCACCATCGATTCAAGCAGAGCATCGTCTTAATTCTAGAAATCGAAGTAAACTCCTTGGATCTCGGGCTCGCTGATTTTTCCTGTGGGCGTTAGAAACCGTTGGTTGGGTAAAGTAGAACAGCCAATTAGTGAACGATCGATAAATGGCGCTGGGTAAATAACCAACCAGAATGAGTTCAGCTTTCGTCCGTTATGTCGGCTAGTTAATGCTGTCCTTGTTCTCAAACGCCCATTGGTTCATCCTACACAGCCTCTGTTGATGTCTCACACGATAGTGTTGTTCAGTCCACGAGAATTCGCACCTCTCTCGAGACAGATATCTGAGATCGGCATAACGCCCCTCTCCCCAGTGGGTTGTGGGACAGTAGTTGATCGCGAACAGGACAATCAAATCGAAGCGCAATCGATACGCCCCAATCTGATCGACCACCAAGTCCACGTTGTGGCCTGGATAAGGTGCCAACCAGCCCAGAGATGGTACTTATTCGGTACGGTACACCTTTTCATTGAAGTAAGCAATAGTTCAGCTGTAGCGCCTTTTTGGTGCCCAGCCACCTTGCCATCCGAAGCAAGCATGAGCGATGAGAGACTTGCGACTTACCCAAGTCTAGAGAGGAGCAGTCGAGATGCTGAGGCTGGGTTCGAACCCCTTCTGGCCCGAAGTGAGTGTTCTTCAAACAGGCAAAAAAGAAGCACTAGCAACGGAATCCTACACCTTTTAAACACTGAACATTCCTGGTGAAGCTGGGGGACGAACGTTTCAAATCGCTTCAGGTTGTCTGCAGCCCTCACGCTCATTATCCTCATTCTGTTACCAAATGTGAAGAACTGCTGCCGATAACTGAAAAGATGTAGAGACCGCATTCCTTGATGATTGATTCCGGGAGCCGCATTTTCATCAATCTGCTCAAGAGTCTTACGTCAGTGTACGCAAGTGGATGTGAAAAGACTAGGGCTTCTGAATGTGTCACACATCAAAAGTCAAGTGGTGTTCTGCCTCTTTTGCGTAATCTTCTCATCTGACGAAAAACCACCCCGGTTTTTCGTTAATCTTACGTGTTCGAACCATTCTTGCTCGGTTGAAGATGAAACTATTTAAGCTTTTCTACGGTACTTTCAATTTTTGGTGACAATCCTCAGAAATGAAACCCGGAGTCTTACCATCGATCACGAAGTTGATCACAAATCTGCTCACTCCTGTCTTTGAACTGGAAGCAAAAGAGTCAGTCTTTGCAATCAGAACGCGTTGGGGCACCCAAAAAGCTGGTAACTTGGACGTCTCATAGCAATTTCGCGCCCGGTTGAGCTTCTATCACTCGAATAAACTCACGTGATCCTCATTTCAAACAGCGCTACCATTAATCTTCATCGCCAAGTTTGGGTCATTAGCATAACCAGGTAAACTTTCTGTCCCACCAAACATTTCCCCCGTCCAAAAGATTCCCTGTGCGGTGACGAAACAACCAGAAAATTCTGTGTTCGTTTGAATGCGTTTGGATTTCCGAGATCCATAGATCAGAACCAAGCGACCGCCCCAACGCTTGTATCAGTTCAAAGAGACCATCATCGCCCAGCACGAAAAGTTGTGTAAATGGAACAACATAACAGCCAATGAAATAACCGTTTTTCGATGAAACAGATTTCATTGGTTGTTCATCGCTCGACCTTGACAGATGAGTTGTACCCTCAGTATCACTTTTTTGACCCGCTTGTACGCGACAGTGATCAAAAGATCAGCTGATTCGCACGTTCATTGGCGTTCTGGTTTGGCCAAGCGCACCAGGCGATCAATCGGCTATCCAGACCGGGGTTCACTGTAATAAGAAGGCATTAAGGGGACTGGTCCACGGCAATGGCGAATTTGGAGAGGAAAGGTGAAAAGCATTGATTGGCACCCCTCGGTGCAGTGAATCCAGCCAGGAGCTACCCGTAGACCTTTATGCGTCCGCAGGAGTTGGCATCCACCATCCTAAGGACGTCTAAGAATTTATAGGGAGCATCTTTGCTTCATAGACACTGCCATATTACCAGACGGTCCACATCGTCAAAGACCTCTTTCAGGTCAAGGAAGACACTAGTTTTGGTTGCTGAAGCAGTATCACTGTTCCAGCATCTGTCGGAAGATGAAGCCGTGATCGATGCGTCGTCTCGCAGCACGGAACTTAGCTTATTTTCCACACGTCTGCCTCCGTGTTCGGTCAACATTCGCAGAATTAGACCGAAAAGCACTCTCGGTGCTACGATCACCAGACTAATGGTACGACAGTTTTGTGTTCGCCGTCTTTGAAAAGGACTAAATACAGTTCGCTTGATGCACCGTCTCCAGGAGCTTTGTTGCGACGGGCCAGCTAAACTGCTTGGTTCATCGTTTTAGTCGACGATTTTACGAATGAATTACTGAGATATCTTCATATATTGTTCCGATAACAGTGGCCTTCTTTTGACCAATCGATCGAATTAGAGTATGGCTGTTTCTATCTCCCTCTTCTGAGCTTTCGTTGCCCACCAAGGCTCGTGGCCTTTCCTTCGACGCTTCACTATTTCGCGTTTGAAGAATGCGCGTCATTTTCTCTGCCAATCGGTATTCGATTAGCACTTGTTCGGACGGATCGGGGACGATTGACTTTGAATTCCGTGAGCATAGCTCAGATCGATACTCTGGTAGTCTTTCAAGGTTGAAAGGCTGACATATGCCTGACAGAATTGTAAGTGCCTGAAGGAAAACAAACTGACAAACGTATATGCAGTAGGGCGTGATCTCGTGTGCTCTAGAAAGAACGGCACTTGGGAATTGTGGCTCTCGATCGGTGGCTGATTGCCGCGGTTGATTTGAACTCGATGGCCACCAGGTTACACGATGTGAGCGTTGGGGTTGAAATTCCACGCTGGTCAAAAACAGTTGACGACCAATCTGCAACCCCAAATGGACCGCCCAAATGTCGTTCTGTGACATTCATACGACTAAACAGTGCATTCGTATCACCAGCAAAGATGCTTGACAAAACATTTTCTGGAAAAAATGTTCACAGAAAGTGTTCTCAGCGTCTGAACTGCAATCCGTTGAGGCATAAGCCGACACTACATATGGTTCTTTGTTCCCCTGTGAAGCGGCACCAAGCTTGGTTGAGCTGACTGATTGACTGGGAATCGATCCAGCAGAGCGTGTCAAGCCGATATATTTCACTAAACAAAGTTTCTGGATAGCCAGACATGTGAAAAACCGCTTGCCTCTTGTGCTTACGACCACGCTGAAATCTCCTTTTCGTGTCTCAGAGGCATAGCCTACATCAGCTGAGCTGGACGAGGGTGCCCTGTTTGCCAACGTAACATGTGGCGGAGTTGGATCTCTTGAATGTGTCAGTTCTATTTTATTTGTTGGGCAACGGGTCGGGAAAGGCAAATCGATCAGATAACTGACAATCAAACCGTCTGGTGGCTTTTGCTTGTAGAGTGGGGACTGCGAACGGAAATCGGGATGAACTAAGGATTGTGAGGGCGTCTGTTCAGATCGACAAACTGGGTTCATTTGAGGTAGTCCACCCGGAAATTCTGACTGCAAGAGGATGGAGCTTGGTCCGTGACACTTGGGGCACTTGAGTTGTAGAGTTTGCTTGGGGGACCCTGTCCGGGACTCCAGATTCTGACCTGCACGGCT